AACTCCGAGTCGTGTTCAGATAATTGTTAGCACTGAAAATGAAAGTAAGACTACCTGAAGACAAGCCAGTATATTGCTTTATTTTACCCTGTAGCATATTTTATTTATATTCCTTTCAGAAGGTTAATGTAACAGTAAGGTTGGGAAAGGTACAGTTTCATTTTATGATGTGCCCTTGGCAGTGTTCACGAGCCTGGCCCTTGAATCTCAGCGAACAAAGATGGAACTATCACTGGTGGAACAGTCACTCGCGAAAGGTCCAGTTAATTCGTGTACCGTGTTCCGGCCATAGCTGTGCAGGGCTTTTCGTTGCTATCGTCTTCTATAGTTGCCTCTGCTTCTTTTAGATTCCCCTTCCTTGCCCTCGCGGAAACTCCCTGCAACTCCCTGCCTTCATGCAAGTTGCACAGTCAGGTATTTAAGCAAACTCTTTGTTTCTTTTGCAGAAAGTCTTGGATTTGATGCTGTTGATATCAATGGAAATCGGACATAGGGGGTTTGCATGACTGTCATCTTGCTGGTCAGCGCTTATAAGTGCTCAGTTGTTTTGCGCCAGCGCTGGCTATATCAGTCCCCAGTCTTCGTCATGAATACATTGGCAACTACTCACATAATCGTGATAAGTCCTGAAATCTCAAATCTCTCTTAATACTACACTGAAAAGTGTTGTCCTAAACTAAGTTAGCGTTTATTTCTTCTTTAAACAATCGACACATTTCCTCAAGTTTAATGAGGCTTTTAGTTCTTTGTCCAACGATATTTCTGGAAATTTATCCACAGTTTGTTCAACGATGGAGGATTTGTCTTACCGCTTGTTGCTTCTGCTGTGTTTCCTGCACTGGGCGTTTTCCTTTAGGGACGACCCACCCATCTGTACAAGTACCGACCCTGCCAGACGATGCTTCTGCAGGTATGTCCCTTATCGCCAGGAGCGCTTCTTCGCTCTGACGGTCTCGTGTGGGGTCAGTTCGGCCGGATTTAATTTCTCAGAATTAGCCCTCCTGAACTTTTCCGCAGTGTTTCCGTGGACTCTGCGTTTCCACTCGTGGCGTGACGGCGGGAATTATACGAAAAATCTGTTGATCATCCCGGCCAACGCCATTCCGTCCTCGGCTAACGTAACACCGTTCGATTTAGCCACTGATGGCGTTCACCTCCTATCGATCGAGAAGGGGGCATTTGCTGGTCGGACTATCAAGGGTCTCAAGTTCTACAGAACTGAAATGACCAGACTGCCCTTAGAGAGTTTTCGAGACCAGAAGATGAACTTAGAATATGTTGAAATAGTCGGGGTACGTCAGAGGAGCGGCGAGCCGATTGAACCTCCGCGTTTCCACTCGTTTCAAGCTCTAAAAGATATTACTATTAATGCCTTGCCGATGGTTTCCAAGTTTCTACCTGACGGTTTCCTGAATGACTTACCCTCCTTGGAATCTTTAACCCTCATTTGGGTTCGGGTTGTGCGCGTTTCACCAGGTGCAATCCGGAATGTTCCCGCTCTAAAGAAACTTATAATAGTTAGTGGCGAGTTGGAGCGCGTACCGATTAATTTATTATCTCACCTCTCTAGCCTAACTCTCTTAGAACTGTCCAATAACAACATCAGTACGGTATATGCCACGGACGTAGACGCCCTGATGAGGCTACCTTCTCTTGAAAAAGTTTACTTGTTCGACAACCCTTTCAGTTGCACATGTGAATTGTACTCGTTTATTAACCTGTTGCACGGTGAGCCTCCATTTTCTTTAACTTCGAATTTATATGGGGAATATCTCTGTAGCAGTCCCCAAACCCTTCAGGGCAAATACCTTTCTGACTTGAGTCTCCTCACGTATGTGGAACTTAATTGTACCGGAGAAAGCACTGCAAAACCTGTGAACTACACAACGCGGGATTTGCCGGATTTTGTAGACTCCTCCACAGTCGCGCGGCTGGCTGCCCCAATTATCTCAGCCATTGTGTTGCTTGGAATAGCATTTACAGCCGTGGTTGTGATATTCCACAGAAAGATAAATTTGAAGTGGGTCGGGTTGTTTAGGAGATTTGGTCCTCATCATCACAGGGGTGATGAAGCTGATAATACAAGATACCAATACGACGCTTACATCTGCCATCATGGCGACATGGAAGAGTTTATCTCCGAACAAATGATTCCACGTCTCGAGGGGGAGCCCAATAATTTCCGCCTGTGTGTGTCTTTTCGCGATTTCCTTGTCGGTACCAATAAGTTGGATAATGTGGCGACTGCAATGACGGAGAGTCGGTTGGTGATCGTTCTCCTAGACGCCAACTTCATCGCCAGCGGCCAGTGCGTGCTCGAGTTAAATATGGCGTGTTCCAGGATGATGGATGCCGGCGCCGGCGTAGGTGCAGTTCCAGCCGCCGCAGCAGTTAACGCCCCTGTCTTGGATCGGGCGACAGGCATCCTTCTGGTGTTGCTTGACGCTCTTCCGGTGGATGCACTGCCAACCACCTTGACGGTACTTCGAGACAAGATCACGTGCCTGGAATGGAGGCCAGAGGAAGAGGAAAGATGCTGGCAACAACTCCTAGCCTCCATTTGGGCTGGTAGACAGGAGCAGATTCAGGCTTTCGAAATCCAAGATTAGACAGAGCATCCATTTTTTCATTTCCTTGGTTCTCATTTCGATAGACTTGTTTCTGGGTTTCGATCCAAAATATTCAAAGAGAGTGGGCCCGACATTTTGATCCTAGCAGAATTTTTTTCTTGTCTGGCTCACCCGTCCATGCTATTTCCCGAAATTGTGGGCATTAGCTAGTTTGCAAAAGTTTATCATGTGTAATGCAAAAGAAAAATATCGACGCTTGCAAAAAGTATACTGGAAAATAAGGGGGGAAAGTTAATAAAAAAGATCTCAGAAGAGGCTTAGGTGATACCTCTCGTTATAGTAAACGCGTTTATAATTATCGTTACGTCGTAGGTTTGTAGCAATTAAAACAACCCCGGGAGTCGATTAGTTCCCTGGTACGGAATTTATAACGTACACAAATTTGCCGAAAATTGCCTGTTGTTTTGTATACGCATATATCACTGGAAAGAAGGTTCAGTCTTGGGTTTATTAGAGTAAGCTTGTTTTTAATCACGTACCGGTATAGTTCCATTTTCCTGGCCAAGAAAGTGTTCTTTGTTTGAAAGGAAAGAGGTAGAAGACGCACATTTTCTTGTTCGCAATTTCACTCAAGAACTTCTTGTACTCATGGGAGTGTGGGAACTGCGAAGCACTACAACCTTGCGATTGAGTTGAAACTCACTTTCGAAACAAGATTTAATTTACTTTGAAAACGTAACCCAAACTGAAATCAGGTGGAAGAGATGTGATAAGATGCATCATAATTAATTTGTACATTACAGGAGACGGAGAATTGTTTTTGAATGTCTTGCTTCCTATCAGTGGGATCGTAATGCAGTGACGGCATAGTTCATTACTCATTAAAAACAGGCGTAGGAACATCAACATATGCCAAGTTTCAAGCACGATAGTAATCGAAGCTCGACAGCGAACGAAAAAGTAGGAAATCATTAGGCGTGTATCTTGGCGTATTAAGGCCGCTTTCCATATGCACGTCAACACTCTTGCCAAGCGTTACATATCCGTTCGCGGGGTGATTTTGACGGCTGAACGCAACGCATACGTGTTTTATGTTGATGTTTTATGTTGTTGAGTCGGAAAATAACGTTGGCTTATAAAAACACTGACTTGAGAGTTCGTATGGATCACCGAGACAGTATTATTGTACAGATGAGCATCAGGCCCAACGGAATGCGGTGTGCAACGTGTTATTTTGAACGTTCGCACAAAAGGCGCTTGATGTACGGGCATTCATTATACATGTACTCATATCCATTCTCGTGAGAAGGTGTTAAACGAGTAAGAACAGCTAAGCACATGCTTATTCCCTAATTAATTCAGTGAAACTCGCATCTGGAAGGCCTATGGCATACCAGTAATAATGCGTTAACCTTTCACTTTTGCATGACTTGAAATTTTGCTTTGTGGTGAATTGTTGGTTTATTCAGCAATATTCCTCTATTAGTACAAAAAGCTTCGGCATCCGGACTAATGTTAATTCAACACTACTACCGTATCCGGTGAGGTCACCTGGTGCCAGGCATTGGTTGTCCTTGCAAAATCCTTGGAAAGTCCCTTAATAGGCAATTTTAGTTTTGTGTTTTGTTTTAGTTAGATTTTTTTTTTACTTTCTTTTTCATTCCTGATTGTTCGACAACCATTCTTTTGAAACTTATTTTCGAATCTTCTCTTTCTTTTGGCAGAATCATGTACGCCAGAATGTTGAGAGACATCGAAGGCGCGCGTTTCCGCGCACATTTGTGTAACTTGAACGCCGACCGTCAAAAATCACGTGACTGAAAATCCTTTGTTGGTCTTCTATCCGGTTCGTGAGTGACTTCGTCACAAAGGCGGACGCGCCACGATTCGCAGGCTCCCATTGGACGATCGCAGTAGTTGCCTGTTAACTTCCGTTTCCGTTCCATGGTTCCACATAAACGGCAATCGTTGCATGTAACTCTAGGTGCAGTGCATGTGCAGTGGGCGTGGTTTAAACTGAAGTGACGTTACACTTACGAACCGGATAGGGGGCCTATCCGCTCCCAGTGGAGCAAAAGAGGGCGTGTTTTGGTTGGTTGGTTGGTTGGTTGATTTAGAAGTCAATGCTTCTAAATTCATATGTATTTGAATTTAGAAGTCATAATATGTATTTGAATTTAGAAGTCATAATAAATACCAGTAAATCTAGACAGAGTTAACCTTAGGGGCATGTTCCATAGACCGATAGCCCTATTGCGCTAAAAAGAAATTCATAAGTCAAAATACAGGGAGTTTTATTGGCAGACCTTGACTCGTATCACTTCTGGAAGTGACCCAGGAAGTCTTCAGTTTTGACCGTTTGTGTCTGTTACGACAGCTGTAAATTGCTTATCTGGTTGAGCATTAAATGTATGTTACTCAATCCATTTTAGTTGAAGCAAGAGCGGACATGTTGGCAGTCATAATAAAATATGTACACCATGAATTTCCCTTTTTCGTTTTTATTTCTTGCATTCATACCCTGCGATCTAGGCAAAAAAAGAAAGAAAGAAGAAATACTGTTTTTTCTCTTTACTGTCTTACTGGTCTCCAATCTTGCGCAGTAATTGATGTGCATGCACTGCAGCAAACAAGAGAGGGCAGAATCCAATGCACTGCACGTTACACTCTGTTTTATTGTCGATGGCTACCAACAATCATCATACTGATATAGAGTGGGAACCAGCCTATCCCAAGATGCGAACTCCGTCAATGGGTGCAGTGTCCCAATTCAAGGAAAATTCTCCACCAGGCGGAGGCGCACAAAAAGTACCCCCCACAGATTGTTTCGAAAAGAGGGGTCTATTTGGGCCAAGAAATGGTGAGATTGTGTCAGTATGGCCCAGGATCATCTCTGTGGATTCAGGGGCACCCATCTGGGGGCAAAGCAGACAAAAATGGGATTGAAAATTAGTCAGAAGATCCCCAGGAAGGTGAGGGATGTCATTTGAAAAATGGCCGCTGGGAAGGCTTGGCAACATTCACTTTTTTTGGGGGGGTGAGTTTGTTTTGGGCGGATAATAAAAAAAAATAATCGGTTAACCTACTAAAATTAAAAATCAAATAAAATCTGAAGGACCAAACAACACATTGTTTTTTGTTTGAGAGGCCTCAAGGACTTCAGTTGCCTGCCATGGGGCTCCAAACTTGGTTGATTTTACACTATTTTCAATGGAGCTTGAATTGGTTCAGTGCACCCCTCAAGCACTCTCGTTGTATAAACATAATGTTAGTTGCGTTTTCACTTGTGAGTGGATCATCGCTTGCGCGATGGTCAATGGACCAATGAGAATGTCTATACAATTCTAAATGTTGATAAGGTTTATGAGTTGTGCAAATGCACCACTTAAAAAATGCATGTGCGTGTACTCTGTAACTTCAGTGAAAATGAGATTTATGCTCTGCAGACATTAACGAAAATGAACAGTGATTGAAAATCAACGAAATGCTTCCAGAAATTCGGACAATTTTGAAAATTATCCCACCCTTCCGTTTCAGCCACGTGACAGTGGTGACTATCGAACTTGAGGATTTTCCCTTCAAATAGTTGAAATAATTTTATTGTATGAAACCCGACTACAAAAGCTAGTGTATATGGGTGTACTCTCCCTGCTGTGTTGTGACGTGAAAGGAAGCTTACAATTAGATTTTCGGCCCCGACGAAGTAACATCTAGTCTGTAGTCCTTGACTCGCATGGGTATTACTCATGCCTTACTTTTCCTTAGACCAACCCTGTGTTCTGCCTGGCCCAAACCCTCCCCGCGTAAATCTTTCAAGACGTTAACGTCGTCGAAAGACTGTGCTCTTTTCCCAGGCTAAGTGTATCCCCCACTTGACGTCAGCAAAATAATGAGTGCACGTAACCCCCCCCCCGGCAACTTTTTTACCAGTATGTACTGGTGCAATGTATTAACTGCGTGGACTGATGATATACGCCCTGATCAGACCCGTTCTCTATGACGGTCGAATGGACCAGTGTTTCATGGAAATGTCCGCGGTAAATTAGCTGGACTCTAGCCTCTTTCAAATCGAATGTGGCGGACATGGCCCGCAGCGCAGGATTGTTGTTGGTGGGACTAGGCCTATTGCTCGCTGCTGTCGCGTCTTTATGTTTGGCAGATGATCCCGATAACTTGGTCTCCCTGGAAGAGGGTGAGTATAAAATTGCATAAAGAGACTACTTGTTAATTGCCCCATTTTTTTTTCTTGGCAGTGAAATGCATTGGCCCACTGGAGTGAAATTTCTAGCAGGCACTTGGTGGATGCAAAGATTTTCAGGGGGGGGGGGAATATTAAGTACAGCTTGAAAATTGATTTATTTCAAGATTTTAAGTTGAGGGGTGGAGAGTAGGGGGTAGATGTACGATGGGGGCATTGCCCCCGTTCCCCCTTGCCCATGGGGGACGGTGGCGATTTATCCCTAGTTTATAGGGAAATTCGTTTTATCATCTTCCAATCCCTTATCCATACACATTTTCTACTTTTAATGGTGTTGTTGCATTGCAAACAATGATGTCGCTAACTTTAAGTGGCTTTGTTTCGAAATGTTTGATCGCTTGTATATCGAGATCGTAAAATGATGTGGAGGGATAGTTAATTCGAACTCTTACTGCATTTTTAACCGATAATCGCAGACGTCGTGCCAAAAAGGTAACAAGTGTGAATTACATTGCCAGAATCCGATTTTAAATAGATACTGTCATTCGTATGAACAGTTCTTGGCGAGTACTGCGAGGGATATTATGACGAGAACAAAGAATACCACGATGGTTTCCAGTGTAAAGGCACACACGACGCACCTGATGAACTCTCTTGCTGCGGAACACCCACTGACAAATATTGCTGTGACAAGGGATTCTTTATCGATTCACTGAGGTAAGTTCTCTCTCTCTCTCCTCCATCCACCTCAAGTCTTGTGGACTTAATGTCAAACGCTGTTTAGCAGATAAACATTTTACAAAACATTAAGTTGCTATTACTAATATTATTACTTTGTAAACATATAGAAAACATCGTTAGAGTGAAATGAAATTCCCTCGGTTCTTAGCAAACTACATTGTAACTAAACAGGACAGCAATAACAGAAATGTACATGTATAACTAAGAGCTCAACACTCACGTAGATAATACGGCCGTTTCACAAAAGTGTGCCAGCAAGAGTTTGCAACGCGTTGGCCGATCACAATGCGCGAAAGTTGTCGACCCATTGCGCGTTTAGACAGGGTCGACAAATTTCGAACGTTGTGATTGGCCAACGCGTTGCAAACTCTTGGAGGCGCCCTATTGTGAAACGGCCGTATTGACATCGGAAACTCTCTGTCAGTTGAAAAGATGGAAAAAGTTGTGCGATATATTTCTGTTCTTGCTGTCGTCTTGTAATAATGTATTTTGCTATAAGAACCGCGGGCAATTTCGTTTTACTCTCATAAAAACTCTTCTCTGGGTATCTGTCTGAAAATCAAATCTTAATCACAAAACACCAGGAATCTTTCTTAATCTGTCAATCGAATGCCACATATTTCCCAGGAGAAAGCCTTTTTTAGCAGGAAAAAATGATGAAGTGCAATGTTCCAGCATAAAAAACGGTAGTAAGCGCTATCTCGATGGTGCAGACATTATATGTAAATGTCTCAATTAGTCATTCGTAGGCCAACACACATTGCAAAAGTTATGGAAAAGTTACAAGATGCTTCAATCACTGAAGTAAAACTTTCCATTTATACATGATTAAATGTTGGAGGTTTTACATGGTGGACATAGACGTATAACAAAGGTTCCGGTAAAATAGTACCGTGCGAAAGGTCTCTTCAATAGAAAGTGAGTTGGTCCAAAAGAGGTTCATGTACTTAACAGTTTTGGACAGTATGCCCTGTTTGTCGTCGGGAATCTCCTAGGAGCATACCAGCATACTATCCAAAACGCTGAGAACATACTGTTCAGGCCCCTTCTCGCTCCCAAAAAGACATTTTAAAATGGTGCTACTGGAGACCGTCGTTACTTAGGATTTTTGCTTTTGCTTAGCCTGCCACTTGTATACAAGCATTATAGGCCTATTACCCGCAGGAATGAAACGAGCTTGAAGGCTCCTTTCCATATGCGAGTCAACACTTGCAACAGGTGTTACGTATTTTGACGGCCGAACGCAACGCGAACGGTTGTGATGTTAATGGACTTGTTTTTTGTGTCCGTAAAAGTGAAACGCATGAACGCGTCGTGTACGCAACCCACCCCGAAAAAAGTACACGCGTACAGAAAGGCGGATCTGGATAGCTTAGAGACAGACGGATAGCCTACTGAATAACTTACAGGGAAGTCACACATTAAACACGGCATTGTCTGCCATAATTGTGGGGATGGTCATCAATGTACGGGCGCTCTGGGTCATAATTAGGTTAAGGAAAAATACTTCCTATTTGACTTTACTCTCTGTAAAGTTATCTGCACCGGCTATCGAAGTTTGCTGTACAATGCAAAAGAATGCCCTTTAAATGTACTCTTTGAACGCAATTACGACTCCGCCCTGTCAACGGAAGGGTGATTTTGATATCCTTCCCGTTCAGTTCTTTGCAGGATAGAGAAGTGTCCTGAGTTCTTAAACACAATGTGGCAAGGTAATTCATGCAGCAGTTTCATCTAAGCACAATATTCAGACGGGGTAATACTGTTATACACCAGAAATCTGAGCTGAAATTTCTAGTGTAGATTTGTTCGTATCAGTAAACAGTGACTGATGCAGCGAAAGCGGTAAAGCATTCCTCTTCATTCGCCTTTTCTGCCATTATCAATGGAGATTCGACAAAAGGCCCCATACTTGTAATTTCTTCTTTTGTGAATTTCTTCTGGATCCCTGGAGCGAAACACCTCAACAGGGGTGAAATTTCTGTAGTGCTTGTACCACGGAGCTCGCCGGGTGGTACCCAAGTCTAAGATTCTAAAATTGTATCTCAGGGTGTCAATATTTTTTTAATCTAGGATGTAAACATACTGAGATAACCAGTCACATTTTAGGAGAATAATGTCGACGTCTTAATGTCGACAGTTAATTCATTGCAGCATAAAAAGGAGAGGCGTCGTCATCCTCTATCCCCAGGGTGTCGACATTTGATCTCTTATAAATAAATGACGAGCTACTGACATCCCACTTTGAAATTGTCGATTTTCCACAAAATTTTAGTTGTAAGGATGTCGACATCGTGCCCTCAAAGATATTTTTAACAAGTGATAGGTTTCTAAAGGATAACTTCTAACTTCAGGGTGCCACCATCCCATAATGACAGCGACGTCGACGCAGATGTCGACATCTATGACATCAACACCCTGAATGGTTCCTCCAGAGATCCGTAACGAAGGAACACAGCAGCTCTCATAGACCGGTTCTATTTACTGAAGGGTCCATCAAAACGCCATTTTGTAATAGCCTCGTTTGGCGCACTATATGCACGATAAATCACAAGTATATAATCTATCCCGAAGAAGTGCACGATGACCAACTCTTTTCCAACAAAATGGAATGAATAGGAACTTATAGGTAGCACACCTCCTATGATCCAAACAGATTCGATATTTGAACTCTCACCTAGAAACAGGAACATGACTCAGAACGCTTAACCTCCCATGCAGGATTTCCCACCTGATCAGAGGCCTTCGAATGCAGTTGGTCCAGGTCCGTTTCACCATTACATTACCAAGTCATCAGCCATAAATTTTAATAATGTAATAGGACCTACTCTGCGAACAGTGTAAATCACTCCTGAACAAAACCCAATTTTGAAAAAGTCAGTCCTCGCGAACTAAGAAATTTCCAACTTGTATTTTAACTAGACGTAGACAATCACTGGTCCAGAGATCACTGGATTCTAATGCTTCTCATATAGACGCGTGTTACCCACAGTCGCAGCCAATGTGCTTCGCGTGGCAGCCATCTTACAGAACATTTCTTTTGTTTCATACATAGAGTGTGCGTAGATGAGGTTCCCTGTAGAACAAAAGAACTGCCCTGCAAGATGGCTTCCACGTAAAGCCTTTGTACCCGCTTGGTTTTTGTTTCTGATAAACACATGCATCCACCATTACTTTATAGGGCTTAATTTCTAATGTGCATGCAGCTACATTCATTGAATTATCACTGTTCGAAACGAAAAAGGACACTTGAACAAGTCTATCATTTTGGCTTTAAAGACTTTAGCATGATTCAAAACAACTTGCTCAAACGTCGCAAATTCATGATCACGCAACTTTACAGTCAGCCTGCATTCAGACAATGATGCCAATAGATTTGACCTTGGATACTTTTTACACATGTAATAAGGTTTGAGTCTACCCGTACCTCATTGAGTCAACTATATTTCAATAACCCCCTAAATAAAGCTCTGATGACTCTATCTGACTGATAACCCCAGTCATTCGACCCGAATCCTCCACCTGTTGCAGAATTCAGGACTGAATTTAATTAAACAAATCCCGCCTACGCACAGGTGTCATAATTGAATTTTCGTCTTCCAAGTGGTCAGAAAGCTACAAAAAAGTTGGATAATTTCAAAAACTAGGCTTTCACTGCATCGATCTCGTCACCACTGAAGCAATTTCGTTTACCATGCACGAAATGGGACAGAGGGGTACCCCCCCACGAGTCCAATCCCTATACACACTCCAGCCTATTTTTACTTAATTAACACCCCCCCCCCAGATGTCTGAAGAGAATTCCTGAGATACCAGTATAACAATGACCAACATAAAGGTGAGGAGGGGGTTCTCTCTGTCCCAAAGTTTGCATCAAATGTAATTTCAACATACCACGGTCGATTCATCCGGCTGACTCAAAACTGACAGCACTATCAAACTGGGGAACACCTCTGTGATGCAAACAAAAATACTATTACTATAAGCATGAAAATTCATTCGGTGTTGGTGGTTGATAAAAGTAATACAAGCCAACCTCCCACAGTGTACAAATTGAAAAGGAAAACATGTTAATTTCTATGTTGAGTGTCGTCATTTTTCATATTTTGGAAAAGCGTCCATCGATCCGTAACCTCCTCCCCGTTCCCCAGTGAACAGTTTGCACGCTTGCGCAAAAGATGGGAAATAGATGGTCCCTCATCATTATGTATACGAGTGTATATCTTTGAATGATGACCCACCTATACTACACAATGTTTGTAATCAAAAGTTCGCCCTTTCGTAGGATAAGAGCTTGAACCATGAATAGGAATTAGAACTGCTTGTGAAAGCATTGAAGAATTGAAATGTGCACTTACGGCATTCCTCGCAGTATCGGCAACCTGATTGGCATCCTGGTAAGCGTCTTCGTCATCGTCTTGCTCTGCGTCATCATCAGCTGCTGCTGCTGTTCCTGCTGTCTGTGCACCAGGGGCCGCGTGTACTCCGACCGTCACCATCACCATTACCACCAGCATCCTGACCGACGTCGGTCGGCTCGCTACATGATGTCGCCCGGGGGACTCCGGGAGACCTTAATGCGGGCCAGGCGGAAAAGGAGGGCGCCCAACACCGAAGGTGGGTGGGATATTATGAAGGTGATCTGGAATCGAAACAGTACATGCATGCGTAAATTGCATGGGTGCAAAATTGTTCATCTCAGAAACAGAAAGACCCGACCAGCACGTCACATTTTTGACAGTGTTAAAATGCTGGTCAAAATGCCGGTCATACCCGGCAGGGCAAGGAACATGAATGTGTATGTGGGCGGTCATGGGAAAGGCGAATTCGAAAATGAGTGAACACATTATTTTAAACTTCTGTGAATTTCGCAGCGAGTACTTCGGACCTGGAACGGTCCATGAAGTGCAGCTATTTTACTAAAAACCGTTAAAGATGCATGTTTCTGATTCAACTGGCCTTTTAACGTTGTAGTTATTTGTCTATGGGTTGCTCTTAAACTTTTGCCTTTGTTTGTACAATTCCAGCTTCACCTGCCGCGTCATCGGACTCGAGTCCACAGATCCCAACACCGCCACGCCGACATCATCGCCCAGCCCCAACCCAGCCCAGTTACCCTCCCCAACCCTACCCTCAGCCATACCCACCACAACAGCCCCACCCGCCCCAGCAGTACCCGCTGCCATACCTTTCGCACCAGTATCCGCCGAGCTACCCGCCGAACTATCCTCCCCAGCCATATCCGCATCCGGTCCCCCGGATGGTGCACGAGGGGCCTGCTTACCCCACCGCCGAAGCCGCACCCCTGCCGTCCTTCACGGCACCCCCGCCGCCATACTCGGTGGCGTCCAGTGAACACCAGCGCCAAGCACCTCCGCTGCTCGACAAGCACACCAGTGCCACCTCTGAAGCGCCTGATGAGTTCCCCACTGCCGCCGCAGCCTACCCACCACCGCCTCCCCCGTCGCCTCGATACCCACCGCCGCCACCACCGCCTCCGCCCTCTTCGCCACTGTTCTCTGCTTCCGGGCAACAGGCCCCACCACTACTGGACAAACGCACTGCTCCGGCCAGGCAGTACCCACGGGCTGCATACCCGCCCCCACCCCCCGCCCCCGACCGCGGCCCC